TGAAAACCTCGTCGGAAAGCGCATGACACCTCGCCAAAAATTGCCTGAAGCGCCGCCGGAAATCGAATGGGCAGTGGCCGAAAATCGCGTGAATAGTGGCCGGAAATCACCTCTCTCACGTCTTGGCGGCTAGAGCTTGTGCTAGGTTAAACGATAGTGTGCTTTTTATATTTACAATTTTACATTAACAACCTCCAATTTTAAAGATAGTTCATTTTATACCCTCTAACTTAATATAGTTTATAATTTTTGTATGTGTATTTATTTTAACAAAAAAACATCATTTTTTTTATATTAAATAAATATTGAATATCATTTATGTACTTTCTTTTAATAAGAACACTAATTTTTATAATAGTTCTAAAATTGAAAATATTTATTTATTGTGAATACATGTTTTTTTTAAATGTAAAACATTAAATTATTTGTTATGTAAATATATTTATAATTTTAAATTTGATTGGCTATGATAAAAGGAATCACTAATAATATGAAAAAGTATGTAATCATTATCTAATTATTAGTAAAAATAATGATTGAGGGGTAGGGATAAATGGAAAGGGATGGGAAAAATGACGTCTTATCGATAAACCCACTAAGGATCTTTCCCGGTTTTCCGTAGTTTTTATTATCACATATAAAGGTTTTCCTAATAAATACATTTTATTACGACATAAAAAGGTTTTATTAAAAACGTATTAAGACGCTGTAGTTGGATGCATCTTTTCAATTTATAAAACTAGCTTCAGAAAATATTTAATCATTAGAATTATTATTTTTAAAAATATAATAAACTTATTTTCCTATTTTTTTTGAACGGGAAATCTACTCTATTCCACTCCTACAATTCTCCTAAATCTCCATCTATGTCTTTCACGAGACTTGAACCCTCGACCTCAAGGAGGGAGGCAACACCGGATACCGCTGGGCTAGAAGCCCTTTGGTATTTTCCTATTTAAATAACAAAAAGTTTAAGTAGTTGAATTAGTAATGTTATTTTGCTTTCTTCAAAGCCCCGTGAAACTTTTTCTTTAAAATTTGACTCCCTCATATATTTTTTTTCTTCAAGATTTGAACATAAAACCCAACAATCCTTCCTAATAAATAAATTTTTTTTGCCACTTGTCAATTTTTTATGTATTTGGACACATGTAATTTTATGGTTAATTATTAGAAATTAATTTCCACTTGTCATTTTTTGGTAAATTTTGATTTTCTTAATTAGCTATCTAATTTTTAGGTTATAGAAAGTAATTAATGTGTCATTAATTTGTTTCCTTTTATTTTCAAATTTTAATATGTTTCATTCAATATATATAATCCATAATTGATATGTTTCTTTTAAAGTTCATTGTCATTTTAAGCAAAATGGTCTATATAAAAAAAATAATCAAACTTTATTGCTTTTTGACAAACTAAAAAAAATGTTAGATGGTCAAAATATAATTATTTTTCTGTAATTTGTTTTATTAATATAAATTGAATTATTTATTTATTCATCATTTTGTTTATATATATTTTTTGAAATTTTATTTTAAAAACTACTTTCCCTCCCTCCATCTCCATGGCATGCGACCCGGATCAGCTAAATCGCACACCTCATTACAAGTATGGGTCATGGCTATTCTCGTGGTCGGTTCTCAAGGAGCATATACGACAACCAAAGCACCTGAATCCTTTATTGATCATACAAATTCGTTTTCAATCTATCAGAAATTGATACTAAATCAATTGAACCCATCAAAATCGTTGAAAATTTAATGATTTAAACAGATTGGTGATTTTTCATCAGTGTGAATCATTTCCATAGTTGAAGCTGAGCGATAAGTGTGCATCACTCATCATTGTTGAAGTGGATTTCAATTTAAAGGTATGTAATGGTTTATTAGTTTCCCCCTGTTCTTTTACTATCCACTTCAACACTCCTTGTAGGTTCATTTGAAGCTGCTTGTTTTAAATGTCATTTTAAAGCATGTTGACTGAATCAAATTTTTTTATTCGAATTTAATGCCACATTAGCTATTTATGGTTTGATCATAGCGTGGTGTTCAGAATTCATAGAGTATTAGAAAACAAAGAATATTTAAAGGAAATAAGTACCCATCACCAAATATTTATCAATTCCTATAAAAAAACGTACACACCCAATACAATATGAGAGTAGTAATGGTTCCCAAGCAATCACACATTCACCCAATACACCAAATATTTGCAGCTTCTTGTTTAAAAAATGCGATCTTGATGCATATTAAGTGTTTGATGAAATGCCTGAATGAATTTTTTTATTTGAATTTAATGCAACATTAGCTGTATTTTTGTTCATAGTGCGGTGTTCTGAATTCATGGAGTATGAGAAAAGAAAGAATATTTAAAATAAATAAGTTTCATTCTCCAAATATTTGTCAATTCCAACCAAAAAATTGTACACACCCAATACAATTTGAGAGTAGTAATGGTTGCCATAAAATGATATTGATATGTTAGCTAGCATTACACTTTCAGATGAGCTAATTTTTTTTGTTATTTTACTTAGTTAATTTTCTTATTACTTAGTTAATTTTCATATGGGATAACATGGATGTAACATTAATTGATTTTGTATATCACAAAACGAGTCAGGTTTGAACTCTGGCAATCAGAGTGAGCAGAGTATAAAGGTAGTCTGTTTTCTTTTGACACGTTATTACAGATTTGCACCCATAAACAATTTGAATAATTAAAAAAGAATTAACATGGAATTTTTTTTATCATGTTACATCTTCTTAGCAACGCCATAATCTCTATAAAAATACAGACAATTTAATGAGAACTATTCCTTTGTTTTCTTTTGACACGTTATTACAGATTTTCACCCATAAACAATTTGAATAATTAAAAAAGAATTAACATGGAATTTTTTTTATCATGTTACATCTTCTTAGCAACGCCATAATCTCTATAAAAATACAGACAATTTAATGAGAACTATTCCTTTGTTTTCTTTTGACACGTTATTACTTTCACCCATAAACAATTTAATGAGAACTATTCCTTTGTTTTATCTAACCTTCCGAGTCCTTGTGGGATTGAACCTGAAAAAGTATTAGCACCAAGGAACACAAAATGTTGTAGGTTGCTGAGGTTTGCTAGTGATGAAGGAATAGAACCACTTAGTCGATTTAGGCTCAACTCAAGATCAGTGAGAGACTTCAAATTCCCAACTTCGATAGGAATGCGACCAGAGAGTTTATTATAGAACAAATAAAGGATTTTCAAAGATGTTAGATCACCCAATGATGAAGGAATTAAGCCAGATAGATGGTTTAAAGCGAGGCTTATGCCTTTAAGTGACACCATGGTTCCTATTTCCTGTGGAATGGAACCAGTTAGATTGTTTTTGGATATTTGCTATTTCACGTGGGATTACTCCACAAAAGTTATTCAATGAAATATTAAGATCAAGATGCGTAAGATTGTGTAGCAAAGAGAATGAAAACTGGTGGAGTGTACTTTTTAAGCCAGATGAACTGAGGCTCAACCTCTCAATCCTCCAATTAGCATTGCAAACCACTCCAAACCATGAAGTGCATGGAATTGATGCACTGATACCAACAGAATATGTAAATATTTTTGTATGTATCATGTACGAATCTATTGGTTTCGGTATTTGAGTCTATGTCTATTTTGACATGCATTGGAGAACAAACATTTTTGCATCAGGTCAAGTGTATGATCGATGACCTGCATCTTGTAATTTGACACTATTGGTATTTGTAACTTGAGATTGTGCTTCTGTATATATTGTTTAAAACTTTATTGAAATTTGTATTTGAGTAGAAAAATTATCATTTGTATTTGATATATTTTCCTATTTTTTATGTATGTGTAAACCACAAGTAAAATAACAGAGGCGTCTAAGGGGCTGTTTGGCAGGATCTGAATTTTTAAGATCTGAATTTTTAAGATCTGAATTTTTAAGAGGTCTGAATTTCTAAGAGGGTCTGAAATTTTAAGAGCTGAATGTTTAACATGCTGTTTGGTTGGGACCTCTGAATTGTTGTGTTGAATTATTAAAATGACCATTTTACCATTCTGTTTTATTTTTTATTAAATTCAACTGTTTATTTAAAAAATAACCTAATAAATTTTCTTAAATATGTATTAAAAAAATATAAACACCATATAAAATCCAAATTTAGCATAAATCAAAATTAAACACAAATCCAAATCAAACATAAATATTTTTAAATCCACAAAATCATACTAAAATCCAAATAAAATCCTACAAATTTTATTTCACCCCAATTGATTCGCAATTTGGTCACGCAAATTATCCATGTATTCATTTCCTTGTGAACCCCATTCCATATCGTGTACGCTTTCGCCATCATTCGATTTTTAACTACTTCAATATAAATGCACATTATCAATAACTACTTCAACAAAACAAATGCACAATAGCAAAAGTAATGGATATTTCATAAACATCAAAGAGAAGTAAGAATTCAGCAACAAAATTTCAGCATAATACTCATGAAAACATTAGACATAACATCAAAATAACACCCAAATTCAGCATATAACATCAAATTTCAGCATATAACATCAAAATAACATCAAAATTCAGCACCAATATTTGATCATATCCATTGAACATCATAATGGAGCATATAACATCATAATGGAGCAAAACATCAACTATTAATTTTGATTTAACAAATCAGAAAATGATAGCATAATAAATTCGATTTTAGATTATCAATTTTGAAGGGAAGGAAGGAAC